ACTCTGTCATCTTCTTCAGCACTCTCCACATTTTCCCCTTGATCCCGTATTTGGACAGTTGTTTCCACAACCCATTTCTCCATACGGTGTCGTATGCCTTTTTCACGTCCAGGAAGAAGCAGTACGTCGGCTTTCCCGCCCTCTTTCTACCTTGGATGATTCTCCCTACCGTGAATGCGTGGTCTACGCACCCCCGCTTCTTTCGGAAACCTGCCTGGCCCTCACAAATGCTATGTTCCTTCTCCGATACTCCCACTATCCTATCGTTCAGCAGCTCACAGAACACTTTTCGTACTGTGTTCAACAGTGTGATCCCCCCGTAGTTTCCTGGGTCAGTCTTGTCTCCTTTCTTGAACAAGTTCATACCCACTTCTTCCCTCCATCTACTTGGCGTATACTCGTTTTTCCATACCCAATTGTACAGCAGTACCATCAGCTGGATCATCCCCTTCCCCCGAAACTTCATGAACGGGGAGGGGGGTGGGTATTGGATGGTACGAGCGGAGGGGGGGGGTCTAGGTGCCGGTTTGTACGGTGTGCACCCCTCGTTGCGTGTGCCTGCTCATGCTGTGTGCGAAACCACTTTGCCCCTGAGCACAGAAAGACCTTGACCGACCACAAAACTTCAAAGATTTATGTGTTAGTCTTGATCCAAATTGCAGGACAATCAAACGAGGCCATCGAATTGACGTGGGGGACGGTGTGAATCACTTAGGGGGTGGGTCGAATAGGGCATTTAAACGGCGGTTTGCAGCAAAAAAAAACGATTACGGCAAGTTGGGTGTCACCGACCTGTTGGTATTTCGTTTGTCACGTCGTTGTCATTTTCGTTGTTGTTGCTGTTGTTTTGCTGTGACGTCCATGAATAGTTTATATTGATAAAAAATAATATGCGACGGTGACATAATTCTTACCTTGCTGTCATTTGTAACGCCCCTATTTGCGGTCTCGGCCAGCGGCCAGCCAGATGAAGTTCAGTCTTCTGACTAGCTCACTCTTCTGGCCGAAACGGCAGCATGGGACCGGAGGATGAGATTCATGGCATGGAGATTCTGGAGGGCCTCCGCATTCAAGAGTTGCGTCCGATGCTCTTAATAATCCGTCAATTCAGCTCGGAGTACTCGTCAGGCTGTGCAAGGGGTTGGTTTGGTGGGCTGATCACTTGGCAGTCTTAGCAGCGGACCCGCCACCTTTCTTTGCGACTACCGTGTGTAAACCAAGCTTGACCAAAGTACTCGCAGCGTGAAGGCGCGGTCGAAAAAGTCCAGCGGAGATCGGTATGCGGGGGTTCCGTCGTGGGCTTTGCTTGAGTGGAGCTTGTAGAGCAGAGGAGGGGTTCTCAGAGCAGGGGGACCGTCCGGTCATCAGTAGATGACACGAACGCCCAACGTGCCCTTTCTTGTGGACCTCCAATGGTCTAGTGTTTTTCGTGATGCATATTTGAGCCTCATTCACTTTAGGCGATGTCGCGTCTGTACGTCTACGATGTGGAAATCACGGAAGCTGCGGTGCATTGCCAAAGGCAGGTTCTGTTGAACGAAGCTTTTTGTCCTCTTTTGTTTTGGTACGCTACACTCAGTGTCAAGCTGAGATCCACCCAGAACGAAAGACCTCCGTCCCCTGCGTGGGTTCCTCGGCGCAAAATAATAAGACACGCTGTTTATCATAGGCGGAACCCCACTTAAAGTAACAACTTTGCAAGAAGCACAGACTAATACCCCAGAGTATGAGGCAGCCTCACGCAAAATAATACTGGTAGGCGTAAGTGAGGCGCTGACTATACTGCAGTCGCTCTCGAACACATTCGCCTTTGCAAGGAATGGTTCTGGATTTGATTTGTTCTGCTATGCGGAGGGACGAGGACGCCGCGGGTTCAAAGATAAGTTGGAATTGGGAATCACATCGGTTTGTTTTGTAGTTGGTTGCCGATACCGATAAACTATCTCGAGATTCGCCTTCCTTCACACTCGCGGCGGCTGTGGTGTGGTGATGGTTTTCCTGGTCGGTAAGGTGGTTGCTTCGTCGATTGTTGGTAAGCTGACCTAAGAAGGAAAAATTGAAAGGTGGTTGGTGTGATTTCTGTGGGCGGCCCGACCCATGAGGAGCGAACGTCTCGTGAATAAGTGGGAACGATTATGAGCTGTGTACGAATTGAACGCAGTATAGACTGGCATGGCGCAGCTTAACTGGATTTATTGGCAGACCTCATCGGAACATGATATTGTACGTGAGGTGGTGCCGACTCAGGCAAAGCGATAAAAAAAATGTGTGCACTGGATGGACCAGCCGGGGCCGCACACGAGGAAAGCCACAGGTATTTTTCTCTGCCTTCTTTTCTGCGGTGCTTGACCTAATATTGTCGAGGGAGGGACTCAGCCGTTCCTTGCCCTCTCGTCGACCATGAAGTCGAATATTGGAATTATGATTTTTTTGGTACACACAAAACGTTACGATTCCCGGACAGTTTGGGGATGCATGCATGCATGCATTTAGACCGGTTTTAATGGCTCCACAATGTTGCAAGAGAAGCTGCAAACTTTTCCTGCACCTTGTCTTCCAAACTTTGTCAATGGAACTTTTGATGCATGCTCTCTATGGGACGAAGAAAGTTTTGTGGACGGGACTGGCGGAATGCGGAGGCGTGATCTTTTTTTTTTCACAACGGCGAGAAGAAGGCACACGCCTTTCATGTTGCACCGCGAAAGAACCGGTCAGAGCGTGTGGAAGAGGGTAGTTGCAACCTTTTTTCTCCAGACTCACGATACCCCAAGGCATCTAACCTGGTACCAGAAAGATGCTGGGCTACTGGATGCAGGCGTCTGGAACGACCAAGTCCCCAAATGGTACTCGAATTTCGACACCCAAACCGAGGTCTACTCCATACTACTGTCCCCGTTACAAGGAACCCTTCGTTCCCCCCTATCGATTCTCTCACCGGCTGTCTCGCCTCTGGCCTACTCCCGTTAATTGTCGCGGCACTCGTCACGAATCCTGCACGTTGCGCTGCGCGTACAGCTCTTAAGCACCCGAATTGCAGTCCCTTCCCTTTCCTTTGAGTTACTGGCTCGGAAACACCCCCCCGATGCTGCAGCCCTCCAAATTCGTGTAATGTCGTTCGTTTCGCCCGGGCTCAGCGATAACATCTCGCATCTCAGAAAGAGATGCGGCACTTCACGACTCGTATGTACTGCCTCCCCTCTGTCGCGGATGAGGACAACGGTGCGGATCGGGCGACGTGGCACGATAACAGCTCCACAACAAGGCTACTTGCAACGCGGCTCGCTCTCACGTCCGACCGTGGTCCCCTGATGCAATCCCGCGTTCGCACAAGGACGTTCCCGATCTCATACTGATCGGTCTTTGAGCGCGATAACACGCAGATCCATCTGGTCTGCCTTCCGTCGTTGCGCAAGTCTACTTGATAGTTTCCGGTGGCGAGCTGCTCACGTACTCAATAGTCCGCTCGCGTGTGCTCAAAAGCGCAAACGTCCTAAGGCGCTTACTTGCTCGTCCTCGTGAAAGCCTCGGGGTGGGCGGGTACGCCAGGTCTAATTCTTCGTGACAGCGGTTGAACACCAAAAATGGACATACAGTTGCTACCGTTTCACAAGAAAACTCTGTCAGTTCGCTCGGTCTACAGACATCACATCACCGCTCTGCTTGCGAAATTAGTGCTATTCCATTTCCACTACAGGTCAACAAATACCGCACTCTCCGGAAATCCGTGTGGGTACCAAAGCTCTTCGGCGGATACCCTTTGAAGCCCTGCCGGCCAATGCACGCCAAGGAGAGAGTGTTGCTTGTGAAACCGATGCCCTTCAATGGTCAATTCCAACAAACGCGGCATCCAAGATCCTAGTTGGGTCAACGACTGATCAAACAGCTTTCCCAGGGTAAGGACCCGGAGAGACGGCGGCCAAGAGGCTTTGTCCATCGGTCGGTTGAACTCATCTCCAAAGTGCAGCTCCTTCAATGTGCTTGGCCACACGACCTCAGACACATCTTGGTCGAAGTGATCCCCAAATACGATGATCTGCAGCGACGCTGGCCATTGCACACCTTCAATGCTCTGGTCGAACGCCCTGCCAAACATCAGACGTTGCAGCGATGGCGGCCACACTACTCCACGAATGCTGTGGTTAAAGTTGGACCCAAACTCGAGGCGCCGCAGCGAAGCTGGCCACGCAACTTGCTGTATGCTTTGGTTGAAGTCACTACCGAAAACGAGCTCCTGAAGCGATGGTGGCCACACGACTCCAAGAATGCTGTGGTTGAAGTAATCGCCAAATTTGAGCTCGTGAAGCGACGACGGCCACACGACACCAAGTATGCTGCGGTTGAAATCGTAGCCAAACGCCAATTTCAGCACAGATTCCGGCCACTTCACTCGTTCTATTGGGTGATTGAATGCACCCAAGACGGTGAACTGCTGCAGAGATGCTGGCCATATGATGCCTTCAAGCGCTTGGTTGAACTTCCACCCGACCTCCAGCCGCTGAAAGGACGTGGGCCACGTGACTCCTTTAATCGGTTGGTTGAAGGAACCGCCAAGTTTTAGTATCCGCAGCGAGGCAGGTAGTGCCACGTCTTCAATCGTCTGGTCGAAATCTCCCCCGCCGAAATCGCCCTCGAAGGATATCTGCTCGAGCGATGGTGGCCAACCAACTTGTGCTATCGGTTGGTTGAAACGGGTACCTAACGAGATCTGCTGCAGAGACGAAGGCCATGAAACTTTTTCGATTGCGCGGTTGAAGGACTGCCCGAGGTTTAATCTCCGCAGTGAGGGAGGAAGCGCCACTTCGTCAATCGGCTGGTCAAATTCACTCCCAAATTCCATTTCTTCCAGAGCAGATGGCCACGAGACGAGGGAAATCGGCTTGTTAAACCTGTACCCGAATTTCACGCGGCGCAGTGAAGCAGGCCACCCAGCGCGTGGTAACCACCTGTTGAACGATTCCCCAAACGTGAGCTGCTGCAGTGATGCCGGCAAGGAAATGTCTTCAACGGGCATATTGAAGCCGTCTCCAAACTCCAAGCGTTGCAGCGACGAGGGCCAGACCACCTCCTCGACCCATCGTTTGTAGCCAGAACCGAACGTAAGCTGTTGAAGCGATGCAGGGAGTTGGACCGGTACGATGCTTTGGTTGAACGACCTTCCAAACGTGAGCTCCTGCAGCGATCCAGGCCATAATACGTCGTCGATACACTGATCGAACTCTTTCCCGAAGGTGAGATGCGTCAGTGACGCTGGCAGCGCAATTCCTTCAATGGGCTGGTTGAAGTCACAACACCCGAGACACAGCTGCTGCAGAGAAGTAGGGAATTTGACTCCTCTGATTGGTTGATTGAAGTTGCACCCGAAAACGAGATGCTGCAGTGAAGCATTCCACGTTACTCCTTCAACCGGGTGGTTGAAGGCCATCCCAAGCCTCAGATATAGCAGAGAAGAAGACCAAGTCACTGCTTCAATGGGCTGGTTGAATCTCTTACCGAACGAGAGATGCTGAAGTGACATCGGCCAAGCGACACTGGAAATGGGCTGGTTGAAGCAATCCCCGAAAATGAGCTGTTGCAGCAACGGAGGCCACTTTACCACTTCAATATCCTGGTTAAAATTACGTCCGAACTCCAGCTGCCGCAGCGATGCGGACCATGCGGGCTCTGTGATAGGGCGGTTGAACGACCACCCAAATTTTATCCTCTTCAGCTGACTTGGCCACGCCACGGCGTCAACACTGTCGTTGAAGATGTCCCCAAAGAGCAAGAGCTCAACTTCGCTTAACACGTCAATCGGGCTGCAGAGCTCGGTCACGACCGAAAAACGATCCCAAGTAGCGATATGCGCCCGGAACCGTGGCACGCGTGAAGAGGGACCCCCATTCTCAGGATACGTACAAGGATCATCGAACGTCGCAAGCAGACGTTGCGGAATCTCGTCATCGATTCGCAAGTGAAGGTTGGTCACTTTACGGCACGCCTCACATACATGTAGAGACGCCAGCTGCAGTTCCTTCGTCGACGTGTACCACTGTTTTCCATCGCAAGCTTGGCTGAGGGCAACGACGAAGGCATCGAACCAGAGGCTTCCACCAACACCTTAAGTCGAAAAAAGGACGGGTAAAACACTGTGGGCCGTTGGACTAACTGGGTCGCTTGGCAGCGTTGAGGTACAGCATATTCCTCATACCACCAGATTCGAAAATCATGGGGCGTGCTGTGGTGTTAGGCGCTAGACAAACAGATGCTCGCGCCCCGCATGCTGGAAAAGCATGTCCTCGATTCGGAACCTGACATCGCAGAATATTGTTCGCTTCGCACGGTTGCGCTATTCAAGTAGGACAGACACGTTTCAAATTCCATTACTCTAAATCTAACCTGTAGCTTCGCCTCCCACTCTCCCGCGTTCTGCCCCAGCACGCGCCCCAGACAAATCGGGACTCATGTCGCGCTTGTTCCTTAAAGCCGCAGACATTCCTGCGGCGACGAGTGCGCGGCAGTCCCAACGAGTTCCTGAACAAAAACAGCAGCCAAGCGTGGGTTTACATGTCATGGAGGCTTCCATTGCAAAAGAGCGCCGTGATGAACAGGCCTGACCAATCCAAAATGTGCAGCTTCGCAATCCAGCTACAAATGAGCGCGACCCTATTGGGGCAAATCTTGACCGAACGCGTGCCGATCCCAGCAGGCGCGTCGAACCTTGATGCAAGTGCTACGACTTGGAGTTTTGTGGGCAAAAAAAGTCCCAAGGAGTATTATTTACATGTGCATGCTATACAAACAAACACCCGCGACAGATTTGCGATCTCGGCGGCCAGCACCGGGCGGTGTTGAGAGACATCAGTGCTTTGCATATCATCACTCAGAGCAACAACGCCACATGGCAACAGCGATGAAATAGGTAATACTTGATCTGATGTCGGCTGAACAATTTTGGGAATGCAAACGTTGATCGAAGCTCCCACAGCATGTCGTAGGTTGCATAAGATACCGTACCCCTGGACTGATTTTCAAAGCTCGATTACCACAAGAGGCAGTGGCAGAGTGATGACACCCCCCCTACTGCTGTAAACCAATTTTCAAAGCTCGATTGTTCCACAAGCCAAGGGGTTGCCGAAAGAGCAAGATAATTCTATGCATATTTGTACGAAAAACCTCGACGAGTTGTTTCCAAAACCACCGTTTTTGGTGTTGGCACAATCTTGGTTGTGGAACAATCAAGCTTTGAAAATCGGTAAATAGGGGGAAAGGGGTGCGCCGTCTCTCCGCCTCTTGCGACGAAAGGATGCCATACTGAAGCCAAGTCAGCAATTTTTTCCAGTACTACAGTAGGCGATGTACAGTTAGGGGTGTCAAAGCGGAAAACTTCCTAGAGGAAAAAATTCGAAAAAGCGTCTTCGGATCTTGCTGATGGAAAATTGACCAACCAATGAAATTGCACGGAATCGTCGGAACCTCCCGAAAAGACCCTCTGACGCACACGCGCGAGGGCGCGGCTCCCCTGTGTGCTTTGCGCCCTGCTATCTGGCACAGCACAACACCATTGCGCGGTCCCACTCTAGAACACATGCCTCATGACACACCCCAGCAGCAGCCGGGCGGTGAAGCCACGCAGGCACCTGCCGCCGCCGTTGCTGCTGCTGAGAAAAACAGCAGCAGCAGCAGCGGCGGCGGCGGCGGCGGCAGCGAGGTTGAGCCTGGCTCTCTTCCACAATTTTCTTATTTTTGACCAACTCTTCTTTCGTTTCCTTCAGCGTTTTCTCTACGACGGTGAGGCTGCCGCGTTCGATAGCGCGCCGTGTGTTATCTTCTGCTGACGCGGCAACCATACACTGCCCCGTCCTCTCTTCAAACTTCTTTTTGTTTTGATTCAGCTTTCGGGCAGCGCGCCTCCTGCTGCCGAACGGCGCGGACCTCGATTTTTTTTTTGGGAGGGTCTGCTGGTGTGGGCGCTGCAGCCCCACTGGAGGGACAGTTTTCAGACATGTAGATCTCGTGGTTGGCTGATGCGATTCGGATGCGGTTTGTTGTGTGATATAGCTGTAAACCCCAGGTAGAGGGCTGTAGGGTCGCTTTCACGAGAGGAGCAAAGGTCGCCTTGGGCGTGGAGCAAATAGCCCAA